TCAGCAGCTCAGGAGATTGAGGCAGGAAGATCTCGAGTTCAAAGCCAGTCTCAGCAACTTAGCAAGGCCCTGAGCAACTCAGCAAGACCCTGTCTCTAAATAAAATATAAAAAAGGGCTGGAGATGTGGTTCAGTGTTTAAGTGCCCCTGAGTTCAATCCCTGGTACCTCCCCCCCTCCCCCAAAAAAAGTAACAAGTCAGAGTTTTTTTTTTCCTTAGTGCATTTTTAAAATTTATTCTAATTTGTCAGAATTTTTTTAAAAAATTAGTTGTAGATGGACACAATACCTTTATTTTACTTATTTATTTTTAATGTGGTGCTGAAGATCGAACCCAGTGCTTCATACGTGCTAGGCAAGTGCTCTACCACTGAGCCACAACCCTAGCCCCAACAAGTCAGAATTTGAACCAAGAACTGAAATCAGTGCCCCTTTCTCTAGAGTTCAGAATGCACACCACAGCCAAATCCTTGCAAAGTATCAACCAATATTTCTTTTCCAAACAGAAAAGCTGTAAAGAGGTGAGGCTTTTGTCAAAACTCCAGACATTAATTAATGGATGCCAACTAGTTTTATCCATCAGTGTACAGTAATGATTCTTAAAGGTTAGGGTGTCTCAGAATTAATAATCTGTTTGATAAAATGTAGATTGCTGGGGCTGGGGTAGGTTGGCTCAGCAGTAGAACACTTGCCTAGCATGTTCGAGGCCCTGGGTTCAATCCTCAGCACCACATAAAAATAAATAAATAAAATAAAGGTGTTGACAACTACAACTAAAATTAAATAAATATTTTTAAAAATGTAGATTGCTGAGTTCCAGTCCCAGCCCTATAATTTGCATTTCTGCACAAATTCCCAGTTGAGGACTGGGGTTGTGGCTCAGCAGTAGATTGCTCACCTAGCATATGCAAGGCCCTGGTTTGATCCTTAGCACCACATAAAAATAAATAAATAAAATAAAGGTGTTGGGTTCAACTACAACTAAAAAATAAATATTAAAAATAAAATTCCCAGTTGATGAACCCCACAAGGGTGACTGGTACACAACAATAATATGTTAGCTCATCCATCCCCCAATATTAGAAGCTATCACACCTTAGAGAAGAAGAAATCAAGGAAGGATAATGTTTTAAATCTGTAGCTGTCGAGGGTGGGCTCTGTTCACCTACTGAATCAGAAACACTATAGCTGGGGTCTACCTGTCTTGTGTTTTAACAAGTCTTCCATATGATTCTTATGCATGCTAAAGTTTAAGAAGTGCTGTTCTACAAATCAGTGTTTTTGTGAAACCCGGTCTCTTAAGTGAGGGATGAGTAGTTTTTCTACTTTCGAGAAATTGGACTCTGGAATTAGATAATTCAAAGTTCAAATCCACACTTACAAAATCACTTTAACTTTCACAAATTCCAGACTCCCATCCTTGAAATGGAACAGTTGCCTCCCTTGTTACAACCTTTCCAGTTAGTAACTTTGTGTTACATACCATAATTCCTAACTGGACTTGATGAAATCCATCAGAGATAAGAACAGATTTCTATCATCACCTCTAGGCATTTGTGGATTTAAAATCTGTGGGCTTAATTTTAAAAGCCACCATGAAAAGTTCATAATATTTAGTTACTTTCAGTTGTATTGAAATATAAACTTAAATGGAGCACTGTGAGCCTGGGGTATGTGTGTGCACGCATGAGGGAGAGCAAGAGAGAAAGCGAGTGAGCAATGCACTGAGTAAGCAAGAGCAGCCACCCACCAAAGACCTGATTCTCAGCTACCGTCCTTGTTCTCTGACAGCCCATAGAAAGAAACAGAAGAGATTAAAAAAAATTGGTTTCTTTCATGGAAAAAGATTAGAGCAGTTAACTCATATCAGAGTATACACAGAAACACAGAACTCACCATTGAAATGTTCTTAAAGAGGGGCCTGGACCATAAAACCCCATCTTCATATTTTGTAAATTTGTAAATTTGGCTTCAGTGGGTGCTGCTTATAAATGTCAAGTGTCCATTGTTCAAAGATGTTCACCACAATGTTTTTCCTTTTGTTTTAATCAGCACTCATATCAAGATGCAAAATCTTTCCACACAATACCCATAGTTTCCTTGCATCTCAACAACATTTATAATATAAAAATGTAAATAATATCAGTATACAACCATAAAGGAAATAATCAAGTAACTGGTAACAAATACATATAATGAAATATCAGAAACTAAATTTCGATGACTATTTAATAACATGGCAAATACCCACATTATGTTAGGGAAGAATAAAAGGTAACAAAATGGTATTTATAATACAATCCCATTTTATAAAAAAAAATGTTTATGTTTGAAGTCAAAAGAGAAGTGTTACTGCAGCAAAAATTTCAACAGTGGATTATGCCAGATTGTAGAAGGATAGTTGACTTTTGTTTCCTTCTATATTATTCTCCTGTATTTTCTACAATGAGCATATCTTGCCTATGTAGCCAAGAAAAAGAAATTTAAACATGCTACAGTTTAGAAATCTAACTTTCACGCCTGGGTATAAATTAAATAATTTATGCAAAGGCCCTGGTATAGAGTCTGGCACAAGTATACACTTGGGAAGCATTCATTCCTGTTCCCTGTTCCCAGTTCCCAGTGTGTAGAGATAAGGTCTCTATATTGTGAGCAGAAGCCCCTTTTCCAGGACTGAACCTACGTACTTCCTGTATAATACAAACTAAGGGCCAAAAGCAACAAAAACAGTTTTTTCATGAAGACTCATTCTTTCACTCAAAAACATACTCAGCATCTATTACATGTTAGACTCTACTACATGAACCACGTTCTGACGATACCAAAAATGAAAAGATGGCATCTCTCCTCTCAGGGAGCACTTGCCAATGAGTAGGACCCAACATATTTATAATATGAAATAATTATTTTTAATAAGGATGCATAAAAGGTTCAGTGGGAACCCAAGGGAAGCAGGCCTTATACAGAGGAGATATTCTATGAGTTATAAAGGGGAGGACATTAGTGGAAATAGCATATGCAAAGAAAAGAGATATAAAGGAGTATAAAGCTGTCCCAAAACTGTACACAGTTCAGTTTTGCTAGGACACGGAGGAGCCAGGCATTGTGGTGCATTGCCACTAACCCTAGCAACTCCAGCAACTCAGGAGGCTAAGGCAGGAGGATTACAAGTTTAAAGCCAGCCTCAGCAACTCAAACAGTCCCTGCTTCAAAATAAAAAGGACTGTGAATTTAACTCAGTGGTAAAGCTTCCCTGAGTTCAGCCTCTAGTACAGAGGGAGCGGGTAGGGAGGGGTGGGAAATGAGATTAAACAAGTCTTGTCTATCACATAAAGAAGACTCAATTTTATCCTGCAGGAAAACGAATGAAAGAATAATTTTAAGCTGAGGAGTGACTTATCAGCACTAGCAAAGATAACCAAGAATCCTGAAAGAACTTTTTTTCTTCTTTTTTTTAATATATATATATTTTAGTTTAAGTGGACCTTTATCTTATTTATATTTGGTTCTGAGAATCAAACCCAGTGCCTCACACATGCTAGAAGGCAAGCGCTCTGTCACTGAGCCACATCCCCAGCCCAGAATTTTTTTTTTCTTTTTAGTATCAGGGATTGAACCCAGGGGTGCTTAACAACTGAGCTACATTCCCCAGACTTTTTTCATTTTTTTTTTTTTATTTTTGAGATAGGAGCTTGTTAAGTTGCTTAGGGCCTCACTAAGTTGCTGAGGCTAGCCTCAAACTTGCAATCCTCCTGCCTCACCCTCACAAGTCACTGGGATTACATGCATGCTCTGTCATGCCCGGATATGAAAAACATTTAATCCCCACTTATTTCCAGAGTAAAAGAAAAGACTTTATTTTCTAGATCTGTCCCTCTTAAATAAACATGAAGCAGTAAATGGAACTCTGCATCTGATACATAAATAGTAAATATTCAATAAAGATCAGTTAAATATGAATTGGATATGCTGCAAGGGGTAACCCCTACTTAGGGCAGGATTTTGGCAACGTCAATACCATTACTTTGATTATGAGCATGATAAGAGAAACAGCTCCTGTGGAAGGAACTACTGACAACTGAGGGTTCTAGAATCTACATGACAGAAGGAGAATAACATATACTGCTTTATTGTATTCCAGTGTACATATCCGTCTTGTGGTTATTTTTCCATAGCTGGGATTTAAATCTCAATAATGGGATAATATTACAGTTTTATTCCACACACTAACCTCTCTGGAATTCTGGGTGACAGGTGCTTATGTGCACACATGTTTAACTGGAGGGAATTCATTAGTGGTTTTACTCCTGCTGTTTTACCCAATATCCTTTCTGCTTAATTCAATTTAGTTATAAGGATGGTTCTGCAGACAGTGTAGAAATAAAATACTATTGCATTTGTCTCCATTTATTGAATGCATGCAAATTACTTTAAAGCCAGGAAGGATGTATTTGATATATTTTATTGGTGAAGACAATAAGGCTCACAGAGGAAAAGCAACTTGCCCAAGGCCACTCTGATAGTAAGTTGCAAAGAAATGTATGTTTGTCAGATTCTGATACCTCAAAAATGCAGTACTGCCTCCCCCAAAGCCAGTGTGTAAAGCAAAACACAACTGCCGGAATACAAAAATGATGCTTTCTTTGTAGCTAAAATGGAAGGGGTGTGTGTGTATTATACAGACACATACACACACAGGCATACATACACATATACACAAATATGTACATACACATACATGCACATACTTGTACACATGTACACATCTTTTTTTTTTTTTTCAAAAGGACACAAAAAAGAATTGTAGGGGAAAACAGAGAAAGAAAGGAAATCAAAGGCCAATGTCAGGCAGCCTTGGTCTTAAAGGAGGATGGAAAAACCTGGGTCTGAGAAAAGGGGGGCAGTTTCTGAGCATGAATCTAAAACAGAGCTGAGAAAAGGAGAGAGTGAATGAATGCACTTGGCCACTGTACCCCGTCCAACCTGGCCTGCCCTCCTTACCTGCCATGAAACCAGTCTTGACACATGTCACACTCGATCATAAAGCGGGTCACATCATAAGGTAGCCGACAGAGGCAATACACAGGCACCGAGGCCATCTTCGTCGGGCCTTGGAGCGATCTGCGGCGGGCCAGGTTCCTGGTGTCAAGGAGGGGCTGGAGGCAACAGGACGCGTCCTCTCTGGACGATAGCTGGGCACAAACAACACTTTTTACAGAGTGAATCAGGTCCCCCCACGCCGACCCCCTCCCACCCGCCTTGGGGCACCAACCCTCAGCTATGAAATAGGGAGTTACCTCCGCCAGCCGGGATGCAACACAGCTGGTGTGGCTGTAGGGGGCAACCAGAGAAAGTCCACCCGGCCTTTAGAATTTCTTTCACTCAGAAAGAACGTTCCGTGCTCCACCTTTGAGTCTCCCCCCATCCCCTGTCTCCCATCCCCTACCTTCTAAGCCCTGGAGTGAGTGATAACTTCTTTCCGGGTTTCACGGAAATATCTGAAGCTTTTCAGGAAGCTCTCCTAATCCCTCACTGAACCCTGTCCTTGCTAGCCTCTCGTTTCCCAGGGCTCCCGGCTCCCTTTATTATGACGCAAACCACAGCGTAAAGAATGGGGCTGGGGGTTCCTCAGGAAACAACCCAAAGACCCTCCTCTCACTCCCCTAATATGATCAACCAGAGAAATGAGGGACCCTTGAAAGTCTGTTCAGGTTACTCAAAAATCACCCCAAAGCCTTAGGGAACAAGGCAGACAAGACTAGGCGCCCAAACTCAAATCACAGTTCTGGGGTCGCGTTCTCGGAGTTTAAATGATCTTCCCGTCACTCAATATCATCCCTTCCTGGACCCGTCAGGAGTCTCATCACCCCCAACAGAAATAAACCTCTTTAAAAACTCATCAGCTCATCCCCTACTTCAAAGATGACAGGGTTCTCATCGCACCTTTGAATCTAAAAAGGATCGGTTCAAAACCCCCCGACTGACTAGAATTTCCTCACGCTGCTGAAAACTAAGCAACGATTTTCTTTCTCTTCCGCTCGGAAACTGGCATGTATTCCTTGCAGACCCCTCAAAATGACGAAGGTTCCCCTGCACCCCCAAATTGCCAGGGCTCTCATCCGAGATCCTGAGACTGACAGGAATATCCTCCTCGCAGCCCCCGAAACTTACGAGAATGTCTTTACGCCTCCCTAACAGGAACGTATTCACGCCCCAAACCTGACAAGAATGTCCTCGGTCCGGAATCCTACGTGGACCGCCTCATGGCCAAAGCTGCAGGGCAGTCCTCACGCCGGCGGAGCTCAGTCCCGGCGACACGCCGGCGGCCGGGTTAGCTCCAAGGCGGCGCGGAGCTTCGCTCAGCGGAGGTTCGCCCGGCAGTTCCGGCCCCAGTAGCGGCGCGCGCCGAATTCTGGGATAGTCACAGTAAAGCTGCGAACCTTGCTCGCCTTCCCTTCGAACCACCCGCTGGGTCGCGCGGCGCTAGCTGCCCAGCAGTGCTTCAGGGCAGCCTTCTCCACAGCACTCCCCACGGCCCCGCCGTTCGGGCCTACTAGAGACCGCAGCTCGGGCCTAGTCTGGTGGCTGCCCTGCGAACGGGCAAGTGGCGTCGTCGCTGGGCTGGCAGAAGCCGCGAACAAACCAAGGAGGAACAAAATGAACCGGCCGCCTAGTCCAAGAAAGACGGACCGAAAAGTCGCCAGGAGAAGCCCGGCAGCAGTGCTAGGCAATTCGTAGTAGTCAATAAAGTTTATTCAAAACAACGAGGAAGTTGAGGCGGAGAGGGGAGGAGAAATATGGGGTAAACAGCTACCATATTGAGAGTGGCGGCGCTACCGTGGGGAGACAAACCAACCGCCATCTTATGAGGGATGGGCTCGCGAGGTGACCGCGTAGGAGGCGGGGAATAGCAAGCCGCAGGCTCCCGCGTGATGTCATCAGGGGCGGGGTGCCACCCTGAGACGGGAGGGCGGTGCCCAGCTACCTTTGGACCCGCTCCTCTCTTAGAGATGCCCAATCGCCGCTGGAGACCTTGAGCCAAGAGGCGGGGAAGCCGCCATCTTAGGCGAGGCAGGGGCTTGGCTCCATTTTGAGTGGGGCCCAAAATTTCCTAGCCTTTCCCCTGTTCTGGGCAAACAGGGAGTTAAGCAACACCCCCCCACACACATACACACTCCTCCCCATCCTTCTCCTCCTATGAGAAGAGATGAACTCTGTGACTCCAAACTGCAAAAGTAATAGGTGGCGGCGGGGGCGGGCTTCAGCTGGGATGGAGGCGGAGTACTCACAGCAGCTGCAGTTCATTGAGCACCTTCAACAGGCTAGGCTTTCCCATGGTCTTCGTGTCGTTTATTCTTCACCCTGTGAAGAAAGCTCTGTGATTATTTTCAAGAAGCCAAGTAACCTGAGTTTCAGAACTGGGAAGTTGACCCTCTTCCACCCCCATATTCCTTCCTCAGCCGGATCCTTGCTCCCTCAATGTAGTTCCTCCATAAGGCTTCTACCAATTTCCCACCTCCCTCTGAACTCTCTCTTCGCTGACCCTATCAGTTCAGTTCAGTTCAGTGCGGATATGGGTCAGTGATTTCCACGCACGTGTTCCAAAATTTCCAAACTACAGTCTCAATGTGTAATGAGAAGAACCGTTGAGTGGGAGCTTGACACATGTGCTTCAAAATGGCGCTGTTTTCTTCAAACATTCTAGAAAACTCTCTAGCTCTCTCACCATATCACTTTCTTGAAGGGTGCCATCACTTTAAAAAAAGAAAATGTGCACTCACCAAACCAGTGGGGGGGGGGGGGGTTTAGGCCCCAGTGACACAATAATGAAAATGGCCTCTGTAGTGAGAAATCACCAGCCAGTGCAGGAGACAAGTTTGCAAGTAAACAATTGGAGTAGAAAGCCCACTATACACATTAATTCCTCATACAAAATGTAGAACAAGTCAGGTGAAATGGCCAGTAACGGTGCTTTGCTTAAGTCCTTGCTACTCAAGAGGCTGAGACAGAAGAATCACTTGATCTCAGGAGTTTGAGGCCAGCCTGTGCAACAAGTGAGACCCTGTCTTTTAAAAGGAAAAAAAAACACATAAAATAAACTTTAAAAAGAGTCTCAGAAGCTGCTTGCTGTTTTAAGGAGGACTTCAGGGAGACCTAGAGATTATATAAATGTTTACTAAATAAACAAGCAAGAACTTTGGACACAAAAGGATCAATATGTACAAATTTAAGGAGGCATAAAGGAAACATTTACTAAAATAAATTGACTAAAATTGAAACAGGAATGACAAAAGAGATGGGTAGGAGGTTCAGATCATGAAAGACTGCAAAATGCAAAATAATTTAGATTTTATCGATAAGCAGTAACAATCCACTGAAGATTTTTGGACAAGAGTAACTAAGTCACATTCTTAGCCAGAGAAAGGACCAGGCTTAGTGGGACCTGAAGCTTAAGCAGTTGGGGCAGTGAAGACAGAGAACTTCTTTAAGAAAGTAATATAGTCTTCATATAGCTTCATAGCTGGGCAGTAAGGAGTCTAGCTCACACCTGTAACCCCAGATACTCACAAGGCTGAGATAGGAGAATCACAGCCTTTGGAACTGGAGTCTCCTGTGCTTCTCCTTTGCTAGCAAAGCAATAAAACTTCTTTTTTCCTTTTTCTCAGGAAAAAAAAAGGCTGAGGCAGGAGAATCAGAAGTTCAAGGCCAGCCTGGACAACTTCATGAGACCCTATCACAAAATAAAAGGAAACTAGGGGCTGGAGATGTAGTTCAGTGTGTGAGGCCCTCGGTTTGATCCTCAGTGTGACCAAAAAGAAAAAAAATGTTGGGCCTCAAAATAGTTATTACCCAGGTGTTCCAACTGCTTCTAAAAATACCCTTATTGCTCATCATTTGTTTGTTTGTTTGTTTGGGGGGGGGGGTCTTATGGTGGCGTTATGGCTTTTATCCAGGAGTATTCCAAAGAACTATACCAAAGCCCTTTTTTTATTTTGAGACAAGAGTCTCACAAATTGCCAAGGCTAACCTAGAATTTGTTTGCCATCTTCCTGCCTCAGCTTCCTGAGTCACTGAGACTACAGGTCTGTGCCATTACCCAGCAATTCTTTATTAAACATTTATTATGCACTAGATGATATGACAAGTGCTAAAGATATCAGCATATTACAGATAAAGGTGCTAGCCTTTATGAAGCTGATATCCTAGTGGGGGAATCAAGTCAATAATCAAATAAAATTATATTTATATATTTACTAAGCACTTATTATTATGCTACGTACTGAGGTTTCAGGGGTGAATAAAACACACAAGGTCCTTTCTCTCCTGTGATTCCCAATCTAGCAAAGGAGACAGAAAATAAAGTAACTCAAGACAATTTCAGTTGTAGTGAGTGCTATTAGGAAAAATAATTCAAGTTATGAGCTCAAGAATGATCTAGAGGGAAAGCAGTGTACTTTAGATGGGTTAGCCAAGGAAGGTGGCATATGAGTTGAGATCTGAATAACAAGAAGGGTTAGCTAGGGACAAGGAAATAAAGAATCAAAAGCATAAAAGTCCTAAAATGGTGGTGGGAGGACTGGAAGTACTGTAGGTGAAGATTGGGGTAAAGTCTGAATAAGAGACCCCTGTATGTATCCTTCAGGGATATATAATCTAGTGAGGAGGATGAGGTAAAATTAATAACAAGCCTGAAAAAAATCAAACTCTTAAGTGGTACCTAGAGCTTTGGACAAATTGTGTGGAAGCAAAGAGAGATGTACAATTAATTCAATCATGTTCAGTGGGTGTGTCAAGAAAGACTGCCAGAGGTAGCATTTGAACTGGGCACAGTGCTACTCTTTGCTTTCCCTAAAAGTTTCTCCCCAGTGTTCTTGAGGATGGGGAGGGAGAACTAAAGGATACTGGGAAAGGCAGCACTGCCAGGCGAGTGAACCTGACAGTACTGAGCTGAACTGGCTGCCATAGCCCAAGGTTGCCCTGGAAGCTTCCTCTTCTACCCACTTCCACTTAACATAAATGTTTATTTTTAACCACACAGATAATAGCAAATGCATTCCTGTTGTAAGCATTCAGTTATCTGGGCTGAAGAATGCCCCTGACCACCAGCCAGCCACCTGCCTACCTCTCTAGAGCGAACTCCACCCAGCCTGGCTCTTAGCAACTCATTTATTTGCATAGAGGTACGTCTAGCTGTTTGGATAACATGATGAGGTTTAAAGTGGAGTACAAAATGCAGGAGGAGAAAGGGAGTGGGGGAGAATGGGGAAAAAGAAAAAGATTACATGAGGAATAACAGGCTTGCTCCAAAACAACTTGAAAGTACAAAAATAGTGAATACAAAAGAGAAAACAATGACATCTGAGAATTTACTGTGTGCTGAGTACCATTGTAAATTCTCACATGCATTAACCCAATCCGTACACCAACCCTATGAGGTAGATACTAGTATTATACCAACTTTATGAACTGAATGAGGAAGCTGAGTATAGGGGCTTCACTTAGGTCACATAGCTAGTATGTATCCAACCTGGGGTTTCTGGTGATACAGGTCCAGAATCCAGGCCCTTACCCACTCCACTATACTATTATACCACTGGTACAGATTTAATAGCAACTGATGTATAAGATATAATGGAGGAAGATGATCAATCAAGGGTTCTTAGAATAATTTTAATCATAGAAGCAAAATATAGTTTGCACACACATGGAATAGAAATTAGTAAGATGGTGCCCCAGGCACCAAATTAGGCAGCTGAGAACACCAACCTACTCCTCCAGGGCCAGCTTCCTAGATCACTACCTGTGCAGAGCTCTGCTCTCGTAAGGGGCTTTGAGCTTGGTTTGATACACTGCTGTTATTGCCTTGAAATTCTCAATAATTTTAGCTTTGAACTTATATTTTGTATCTAGTCCAATGTAACAATGTAGCAGAAGGGATATACTCAGTGGCAGTGTATACAGCTTGTGGGCACTACAAAAAGTATGCATGCTGAGGAGTTGTTTAGGTCACCTGGTGTGCACAAGCACATTTGAGACAGTTCAGGGCACCACAGGGCCCAGAAGGGGACATCATACGAACAACAACAGCTGTGGCAGCAGGAGCAGAGATAGCAGTGGCAATAACCTTGGGAGAGAGGAAGGTCTGCAAAGGCAGTGAGGTGAATCATGGTGAGAGATAAGCTTGTGCTTCTGTTACCAGAGACTGTCCCTGCACTATCTGCACAAAGATTAACTCTGCACACTGGGATGGGAACTGCTGGTACTCAGGCAATAAACTTTGCCAAGAAACTATTACAAAATAAAAGCATAGCCATGGACATTGTAGTTAAATATATTATGGGGTTCTTAGAATTCCTCAAAAAGTTTAAAATATCTGATTTTGGAGCTGTGAATGTTCTTCAGTGGTGAGGCACTTGCATAGCATACCCTGAGTTTGATCCCCAGCATGGCAAAAAAAAAATTAAACATTTAAAAAATTATGTGTGAGAGTGTTTCTCCTTGGTGTGACAGCTGTTCCCCCTGGATGTTGGTGTATGTGCTCAGTTCAGAGCAGCTAACCCTGTGTTCTGTTCCGTATATGCTCTCCTAACTGTTGATTGTACTATTGATTTTTGTTGTTGTTGTTATCTTGCTTGAAGATTGATTCATACTTTTTAATTTGATAGAAATAAAGGTTATTTTTCTGCTTAAAAAATAAAAAAAATAAAAAATTGTGTGTGTGTGTGTGAATGATTTTGAAAACTAGTGCAACATTTCAAAGCAAATATTCAGGGGTTAGAATTAGAAATTAAAATCAAAGACTGTGAGCTAAGATGTAGATCAATGGTAGATTGCTTGCCAAACATGCACATAGACCCTGCACAGAAAA